GGGCGCGTCCGCGGCCGGAGCTCGGGCAGGCCGCTCCCCTCCAGCCGGGGGAGGGCGGCCCGGGAACCGAGGCCGGGCGGGCGGCGCGTTACTTGTGGAAGTTGTCGTCCGTCTCCTCCAGGCGCAGCAGCACCTCCTCGGCGCACTCCAGGGACGGCGCGCCCGTGATCCGCTCCTTCACGCTCCGGAACAGCTGCCTGAGCATCGCCTGCAGCCGCGCCTCGTCCCCGGGACACACGCGCGCCATCCTCGCCGGGGACGCCGAGTCGGGCCGGTCCGCCGGGGCGCAGGGACCTTCAGCGCGCACGCGCGACCGCGCGGAGCGTCGTTGCCTAGGAGACCGAGGCGCGCGCTCGGAGGCGGGGCTTCCGCTACTCAGCGTTGCTCAAAAAAACCAAGGCGGCTTCCGTCAGAGAAATAAGGGTCCTCTCAGGCCTCGCCTTGGATTCTCGCTGCTGCTAGCCTGCAGCATCAACAGAACCCAGACTGGGCCGAATAATGGGCGCGGACCTGCAGCAACGCTCTGACAGGAGGATACACGGGGGAGCGCTGGCGCAGTGCGTGACGTCACACATCGACCACGGCGCGTGACGTCAGCGCGACAACATGGCCATCTTGGCAGGAGAGCAGACCGCCTGAAGAAGGATGACGTGAGCTTACGCAGGCAGTCCTGGGCTTCGCGGGTGCGAGGGAAAGGGACGGCTCAGTAGAGGAAAGAGAATAAAGTTACCCTGAAGTAGCCTGAAAAACGGTTAAGATGTGTCATGTACAAACTTCGTACCATGAAGGTAGTAGCCATTATCTACTGCAAACGTGCACTGATGAAAATGAATGGAAGTAGTCTGAAGTTTCAGCTGAAGCATAACTGGTGTTGGGGTGCTGGTTTTTCCACAGCTGGCACCTGCTCAGCTCCTTTACAGGAACCTGGCCCAAGGACGACTACTGCACCACCTCCCAGGAACAGAGCCGAGCAGTTACAGTGCAGTACCACCAGCCCCATGCTGGAGAAACGCGCTGTGCAGGGGCCCTAAAAATCCATGCCTGGGTTCGAACCCCGTGCAGAAGTTCAGAGAAAGGAACAGAGAGCAGGCGACATGGTCTGTATCAGAGTCTGAGCATGGACAGCATTGGGTATGTGAGTTTATAGGGTCAAAAGGAAGTGAGGCTAGAACAGTCCTGTGGCCATACTTGAAAGTGTCATGCAAGGCAATCCAAGGGACTGGAGGTTTATCCTGCAAGTAGTGAGACACAACTGGATTCTGGAGACACCACCATAGGATGTCAGACATAAAGACCACATTGCAGGAAACTGCAGTGGATGATGATAGTTGCTTACCCAGTATCCGACCCAGATTAATCTCCACACCGTGATCCTATCCAAGTTAGGAAAAACCAACCGAGCTATTATCTATAGGATAGTCCCATGCTGCAGCCAAGGAATGGTTCAGTACAAAAGCTAACTTGCCCTAGTTGGATTTAAACTCCCAATCCTCCTGCCTCAGCCTTACAGAATGCTGAGATTACAGTGTGACCCACCTCATCCACTTTGTCTCGTTTTACTCATCCTTTAATGCTTAAGCACTATCCAGCTCCTGAGTTACTCATATGACTGGCTGAAGCCTTTTGTGAAAAAACAGTTGATTGAAATTTTCCTCATGTTTCCACTCTTTCACCAGAGTCTATCCCAGTAAGCCACTACCTATGAATCCAAGATGATCAGAGTCTGTCCAAGCGAATACCAGATGTTACGGAATTCTATGGGTTCAGTTCAACATTACTCCTAAAGTTTTTTTTTTGTTTTTTTTTTTTTTGGTTTTTCTCTGGTACTGGGAACCGAACTCACTACTTTGTGCTTGCCAAGCAGGCGCTTTGCCTCTGAGCTAAATCCCCAGCCCCAGTTCAACATTACTCCATTTCTTAAGAAAATAAGCTCTGGCCAGGCATAGTGGCACAGGCCTATAACCCCAGCACTTGGGAGGCAGAGACAGGAGAATCTGCAAGTTTGAGGCCATCCTAGGCTACACAGTGAGTTGAAAGCCAACCTAAAAATAAAGCCAGACATAGAGAGACCCTGTGTTAGAAAGAAGGAAAGAAAGAATCAAAAAGGAAGGAAAAAATGTTTTAAAGAGAAAATAAGCTTCTGATCCTGGCATAAACTCTGGTATTCATTGTGTGTATTTAGTTATGGTGGACTTTGGTCAAGGCACTAATATTTGGTCCAAACATGTAAGGCAAGATTAGCAGGGTCAATGACTACATGTGGTTTTTGCATATTTACCTTATATTTAAAGTACATGACTGTAAGCATAGCAGGATCCTCGGACCCATGACTTGCAGTGAGCATCATGTGTTAAGTACAAAGACCTTGGATGTGGGAAAGTGCTCAATAATTCTGAATATTATTAACATTGTTGCCCATTTCTACAACTTTGAAGTGTACATTTTCATAGAACTTGGCCAGGTTCAACTTTCACAAACTAGTAAGACAGTAAACCACTTCAAATTTTTCAACTGTTATATTGGCTTTTTCTTTTTAGGTAATAAGCTGAAGTGAAACTGGGGAGACATAAACTACCAGTATCTGGGGTTTTTGTTGTTGTTGTTGTTGTTGTTTTTTGGTTTTTTTGCGGTACCAGGAATCGAACTCAGGACCTCGCACTTACCAGGCAGGCACTGTGCTGCTGAGCTAAATCCCCAGCCCCCACTACCAATATCTGTAATTGAAAACTTCTGTATTTTGGAGAGCCCCTTTCTTAGAATGGCTTTTGCCTCTTCCCAGAGGGGTAATCTCACTTGATTAAAAAAGAAAATAAGTAAATACTTTTTTTTTGTTTTGTTTTTTTGTTTGTTTGTTTTTCTCCGGTACCAGGAACTGAACTCACGACCTTGCACTTGCCAGGCAGGCGCTTTGCCGGTGAGCTAAATCCCCAGCCCCCAGTAAATACTTTTAAAAAGAAAATCACAGACTTACTGATGAAAAATTATTACAAAAGCCTGAGGTAGAGTTTGACCATTTATCCAAAATGTAAGTGCTTGGTTCTGAAAGTCTTCAATGTGTCTAGAAAAAGAATTTTGTTTTGTGGGTTTTTTTTTTTTTGGGGGATTTTTTCCGGTATCAGGAATCGAACTCATGACCTTGCGCTTGCCAGGCAGGCGCTGTGCTGGTGAGCTAAATCCCCAGCCCCTAGAAAAAGAATTTGAATTACTACTTTTCCTTATTTATTGGGATTGCTTAGTAATGCTGCCTAACTTGTTGGTCTAAACAACTTGTGGAATTAGTCTCCGATCTAATGCCTCTCCTAACCCTGCACTGAACATGATGGCAGCAAAACAACCACCTCACCACTCTGAAAGCAAACCTGTCATGCATACACTCCTGCTTACAGACCTGTAGGAAACTGTGAAGATGCTCATTACCTTATCTGCAGAATTCTCCTCGTCTGGTGCAACAAGCTTGCTTTTAAAGACCTGATTTTAGCACAGCCTTTTAAATGCTTTACTGTATTCTGATTTGAAGACATATTAACCGCCTACCACCACAAGACTTTTTATATAAGAACTGTAGAGGAGCTATTCCAATTCTTATTCTTGTGAACATACTGTACAGGCTACCCCATTAATCCAACTTATACTTTTTGATCAAGTAATGCATTTTCAAACTTGATCTCCAATACCAGAGTTCACATATACCTTATGTTAGTTTAGGTTACAATCTGAGCTTTTGTTAAAAAGGAGAAGGAAAAAATAGAGTAGTTTAAGAAAGATAAGTGTCCAGAGATAATCAGCTCTGTCCATGGTGGAAGGACAGCTTTACCATCAACAGTAATTGTCAGCTTTGCATCCAGGGTGGCTCCTCCAGCGTGCACCACTACCTCTGCTTCTCAGCCATCAGAAAAGAGAAACAGGCAAGAGTTTCACGCAACTTGACACATAGCCTTCTGTTGTCATCTCATAGTGACATAAACACAAGGTGGCTAGGGCAGAAAGTAGGAAGCTGATTCTGTCTGGAAAAATAAAAACAAGCTCTTCAGTGACTATGAGAAGGGCAAAATAAATATTAGTGGAGAGTTAGCTGTCTCTGCCACAAATCCCTGTGGTTACTGACTTTTCAAGTTGTACACATTATTTCTAGCTGGCTAGATCAGCCCTGGTTCAGATAAGAGAATAAAAACTAATTAGGTATTTTAAGAAATACAGAATGTACAAGTGAATAAAGTTACTAGAAAGGCAAGAGAAGAAAATTATCGAGTTTCTAAAAATTCTCCTAGGGCACAGAGGACTGACCCTTCAGCAGGTATGCTACTTCTGTTATACCGTGTGACAGTGGCATTTGAGAATAAGGGACAATAGCTGAACTGGGCGACAGGCAGCTGGAGTCCGGAAGCTTCTGTGATCAGCACAAATCCCAATCAAAGCCCACAGAACTACTTACAGGGGACTAAAATATGGCCCCTAACACAGTAGAAATTGCTTCCAAACATACAGGCCGCTAGAGATAAAAATGTGGAATCTTGCTGTAGGAAATGTCACATTTCCATATCCATGTGTTCCATCATAAACATAATGAAGAAAATATATAAAATTTCTACTTCCCAAATTGTGCAACTGTGTTTGATTTTCACACCCAGAACACAAGCTGCAAAAGAGTCTGAAAGTGTTATTGATAGGGCCACAGCCTTTGTAGAACAAGAAGATGAGCTAAAAAGTATATTGGGAGGTAAGAAAGTCAATCTGCCACTTCTACCACTGTGACACATAGCAGCATGTAGTCTAGAAAATAAATAAAATAAATCTGTCATCTATGAACATAACTTGAACTGAATTTAAACTCACAGCTGACTAACTTGCTGAATTCTTTTTTGACATTCAGCTACCCAGATTCAGCCTGAGTCACAAGTTTCCACCTTTAACACTAATCTCATTTTCTCACATCCTAAAATTACTCATTTAAAAAATTATTTGAAAATATGCTAAAGTAGTAAATTATATGTGTATTACTCATAATCCAGTATTTATTTTATTCAGTTTTGGTGGTCAGTATATGATTTCATATTCATAGACATGTTTAAAACCAAAAAATGTTAACTTCATGGTATGAAAATAAAGCCAGCCAGTTCAGCTTTAAAGGCATCTTTCTGTCAGTAAAATGTATTTCTTTTAATAAACATACAAGTCTGTGAGAAAAGAATAGGAAAGTTTAAAACCAAGCAAAATTCAATTTATTACTACATAGGACTGTTTATAGTTTTCTATTAGCAATAATGATGAACTGTACATATTTCTTTGCTTTTTTGCATATGGTATTGAATTTGATAAGTTTTGACATATGCATGTACCTGTAAAGTCATTTCACAATCAAGATAATGAAGATACTTGTTACCCCCCAAAATTTCCTGGAATTCTATGATAATCCTTCACTTCTGTCTCTCCTCAATCTTCCTCTACCATCCCCAGCCACTCAACTACTTTACTATAGATCTGTTTGCATTTTAATACATACATAAGTTCAATCATACAATGTGTATTATTTTGACTTCCTTAAATGCATCATGATGATCATGAGATTTACCCATGTTTGTATCTATACTTTGTTTCATTGCTTATTAGTATTCCATGATGTGAATACCCCACTAATTGTTTATCCATTTACTTGTTTATAGAAATTTGAGGTTGTGTATACTTTTTGGCTATTAAAATATTACATATTTCTGAGAGGATTTTTAGTATACTAAACCAGTTTTATAATAAGCACACATAATCGATGTGTCCATATAGTGTGACTGAAAGCTCAAAACAAAATAATTCTATACCAGGATAATTGGTGCCCTCCTTGACACTGGTAATGAATATCAAGATTTATTCATTCCTTGATTAACCCAAGTATTGGTGATCAATGAGGAGACAGGTTTAGGGAATCTTTGAGTAGTTAATTCTCAAAAACATCTGATCATCTAGTTAATTCTCAAAAACATCTGATCATTAGAGACCAAAATTATACAGTATAGCAGACAAATGAGATTTATCACACAGGCAGGAGTCTACAGAGGTTTTTAGCAAAGACAGTGTAACAGATACTCATTTCTTCTTTTTTCTGCTCTGAATCATACCCCATAACAAGTTTTATGGGACTATCCAACTGTGCCGGTCTTTTCTGAGGCACCATTAGAAACAGTCCCACCCCAGAAGGCAGTGACCAGACCTGACCAATCAGCTGCTACCACATGGAACTTTGTTAAAAACCCAAAATTATTATTATCTCAGTATTGCTGTCTTCTGTGCTGACCACTCTTGATCAGAGATTATTACAGAGATATTTTTGAGGTGAGGTCCGGGCTGGACTCAAACTTTAGGACTCAGGGGAACCTCTCACCTCAGCCTCCTGAGTAGCTGGGCCTTCGGGCATGTGCCACTGCACCCAATGCAAGGTGTTTGTTTAAATTACAGAAGACACACACATCACATAAGTCAAATGGCGAAAAGTAAATCAGCAGAACCATGGGAAAAAATAAGATTATAACCATGCTCACTAGGGGCTGGGGATTTAGCTCAGCGGCAAAACCACCTGCCTGGCAAGCGCAAGGTCGTGAGTTCGGTTCCCGGTACTGGAGAAAAACGAAACAAACAAAAAAACCAAACCATGCTCACTAATCATCCAGTATATCAGTATAATAGACATTACCCCTGGCCTGCCGGTTCGTAAAAACTGTCTGACTTCAAGACTATGCAACTTTCAGTAACTTTCTATTCCTACAATTTTTTCCTAAACTAGTTTTATAGCACCGTTTCTAGGGGGAATTATTGTTCATATATAATTTTATTGAAATTCCATTGCTCACAGTATATATTTAAAAGCAAAATAAATATAAGTAGCCATACAGTTAATTCTTATTTTCACTGTGAATTTTTAATAAAACTGCTAATCCTTGAAATTGATCCTTTAGGATATTTTAAATTTAAAGAATCACTAAGAATGATAAAAGAGAAGTAAATTATTTTATATAATAATTCTCTGAATTATTAAAAATGCAAATTAGGAGTAGAACCCTATTATAAACAAAAAATTTAAATGTATAAGATGCAACTAGGTGTAAAGGCCTTGATTTCAGGCTCCAGTACCTGGGGAAAAAAGTTGTCAACCTAAAGCAAGGTAAACATTTGAAATCTACAAAATTAGCCAAGTTTTAGAACATATATATATGTATACATATATGGAAAAATAACATGCAAAGAAATGAGTAACCCCTTACAATGCTGCTAGATGCACAAATAAAATCTTCCTGAAATGGAAACTGACAATTTGTATCAACAATTTTTGAATCAGCAACTCCGTTTCTTGGAATACACTCTAAGGGTCAGAGATGCAGCTGATGATTTATTATAAGGATGTTCACAGGTACAATTATTTGTAACATTACATCCCTGGAAACTTTCTAAATAGTTCATAATAGATTTAAATTTACATTAATTAGGGCTCAGCCATATGCTAATAATATCAGGTGCTCAAAAAGTTTAATGTAGATGCTTAATAGAGAAAATACATTTAAAATGGGAAAGTTTGAATTTCAAAATTGTGTATTCTTCTAAATATATAAAAATTTATTATGTATTATAAACTATATGTTATAAAATAAAGTATTTCTCCAATATATACTTATGGGATGCTTACCAAGTTAAATGCATGATGATGTGCTAGGCAATACCTGCACGTGCACATGTGCGCGTGCGCACACACACACACACACACACACACACACAATTAAGGATGAAAATTTCTCTGTTCACAGTTGTAACCTTATTATATATAATGCTGGATCTTACACATTCTTAGTATAGTGCACTAAATCCTTCTGTCTAAAGCTAACAGGTTGGTTAATAATAGCACAATTACATTACATTGCGTTAACGAGAGACTACTCAACAAAAGCAAAACAAGACTATGGGTTCCTCTAATTAGAATTGGAGCGAGGGCAGGAGGCACAGGGATTTGCTTTTTGTTGTGGTCACTACTACACTATTTGATTTTTACTGATACATGTTTGTACTTTCAGTTTATAAACAATACACCCTTTTTAGACACGGATAAAAGAGGCCCCAAAAGTAATATTCTTCTTTCCCATTTCAGGACAAAATTAATTCAGAGGTGGACATAAGGATCAGACAGCTGGAGAGAAGACACCAGCGTTATTAAAAGTGTACTGAAGGATGAGTTAGGTATGTGGCACAACAGTCTTTCACCACTAACTTAGCCTTTCCCTCTCCAGACACTGCACAGATGTCAACAGCAGGTCATCCCTACAGAGGCCAGTGGTGATCAGGACAGGCTCATGAATGCCGTACACAGGCAGGATTTGAAAATCAAACAGAAACAGTGGAAGCAAACATTCATTCGCACTGTGAAGCTCATCAAATGTAGTACTCAACACCTTTTGTCCCAGTACTGGTCGTTTGTTACTTGATGTGCAGGCTAGAAATTGTGGGTGCCAGTGGCCTTGTGACTCGATACCCTTTCCAGCCAATTCCATTAGTTTGGTATTTATCCTTTCGGTACTTGTAGGGTCTCCCAGAACCAACTTAATAGCAAATACCGTCAAAAAATAGCATGTTGGCGAGTTCTCTGGGAGCGGCAGGGCTCGTGGGTCCGAGTTTGTGCTGGACGCATACCACCACGATTCCCAGCTGAAA